ATAGCATCCTAATGACTTCCACCAGTATAACTGAGCCCACTCACTTGTTATTGCATCACCATCTTTGTCTGATGCTATAATTGTATAAATATACACAAATCTCGCCAATAGTTATGTTACACATAGGTGTTTATATATTCTGATCAGGTTATACTTGATCAGTTTTAGCCCTTGACCGAATATTGTTATTCTATTGGGTGTAATCGACTTATCTAGAATTACATAATCGATGCATAATAGCATATTGTTATTATTGTTTTCCACCCCCAGTAAATTAATTGTTATTTAAAAGTAGACTTCTGCGTTTTAGTTCAGCCTATTTTACTTTAACAATTTCCATATTTTTCGCCAAACCTTCACCAGTGTGAATGGCTTATCACTTCCAGACAGCACGACATGATATTGAAAACGCAGGTGTTTTGAGGACAAATTTTTCCAGGGCAATCTGTTGTTGACAATTCTTTAAGGGGGAAACCGTGGCTGATAAACCCAGCAGGCTATATTTAGATTTGGATCTCATGTTTTGTTTACCATCAAACTAACCAAAGTAATTCCTTGTAATATCTCATTTAGGTTAAAGTTGTTTACAATTTTCAATAAGGTCAAACTAGAAGCTGATATAAGTACCAAGGTCAAGGAATGTCCACCTGCTAATTATGATAATTATTACTGTATGTGATAGCGAGATAATTATGGTTACGTACACCAAAGTTAATTAACAAATTTATTGAGGTAACAGGAGCTTATTGAGATGGTGAAAATGGCTATTATATAAAGTATACTGTTTAAATGTAGCTCTAATAAAAAATACATTAATTGTTATCCATAGAACTGTTGTATTTATTTTATATAAAGTGTCTTAACAAATTAGTGTGTTGTGGAAGTAAAGCATTATGGGGCTAGCCTCTAAAGTAGAATGTTCTGGGTTCTAATTCCAGTGGGCTACGAAGAAACATCCACTTTTCATGGGATCACAGGTGACGGGGTATGTGGGTATAGTCGTTTGGATAGCACTAAAAAAATAATTGAGGTTCACACTTGTACGCATTAGCTTGGACATACATAAACCCTGATTTATATATGTGCATACCCAGCTAACAAGATTTAGTTTTCAAAACGTTAGTATTTCATTATTTAACGTTCGTTGAGAATTTTTGTGTCACGTAACCCAGGAAGGTTTTGTTGTCCTATGGTCAACGTTCTTTACAAACGTTACAGGATACATCAATGTTAATGTTTTCAAAACATGAGTTATTTTGTTATTTGACATTAGTTTTGAATTTTTATCTGAGGTAAGCCAGGTATAGATGTAGTTTATATGATGTACAAGTAATCAAATACAATAACAAAAGTAAAATCTTAAGCCAATGAATGACACCTGATCCACCTTCACATCAAGAAAATCATTGATAAGATTCCCACATAACAATTAACTTTTATTGTTCTACAATAATTCATTAATTATGAACACAACACTCAGTATAAAACTACATGTATGTATATTGTATACAACTCTATAACACCAATCATGAGATTATGTGGCTTCTATAAGTGTGCATTATTCGGTAAAGACTGTAGAATTTTAAAGCTACATGGTTGAAAGTTGTGTTTTGAAAAATAAACTATTTTTCTGGCGCACGAATTGACCGATGGGTCAGATCTAGTTTCATTCGTCTTCCATAACCCTCAGTCATGACCGGCATATATGGCCAACATGGAACCCAAAAAGTAGACTCTCTAACACTCACTGGCAATATATGTATTACATGTGCAGGGATAAAGGCATTATGAAACAAGAAGAGTTTCCACTTTCATCTTCAATCAAAGACCTGCTATCATCAAATTAACTATGTTATACTACTGTTATAACATTGCTATCATATGATGACGATTCGTATATTGAGGGATTACTGATTTTGCCTGGGGCAACACAAACTCAACCTACGACACTGCCACCTATAATTTTTCAAAAATAGATAATGCAAAATGAATATATTGAAAATTTCATTCAAATTACTTTATTTTGAGCAAAGTTATCATTAGTTGTAGTCTCGACAAGATGTGTGCATTGATTGTAACCACCTTACTTGACATTTGAGTCTTGGCATCGCTTCCCCATTTTTAAATTAAATCATCAAATGGACAAACTGTTCTAATCTACTTAAAATTGGAGCAATCTGACGGCATCGAGAGTTGATTATGGTCTTGTCATGTTAATAATTGTCTAATTAATAATTTATATAATATTGAAGGCCCAAAGAAAGACCTGCAATAGGCAGATTTAGGTCTTACATAAACCTGTTAAGGGGAAAGTTATGTAAGTATTTGTTCAAATGTCAATGAGTACGTGCAATCCAGAATAATTCTATCACCATTAATCAGGGTTTAAACATATTAGTTGTTTTATTGTATATTATTATAGAAGTTTTAACAGTTTAGTTTATACTCCCGATAATTTTGATTAGCACTCCTTGTTTATCTCACTATAACATGACTTAATATAAACAAACGTTATTTTTAGTAGCCTACCAATTTCAGAATTACAATCTGAGAAGTTTGTAAGATTCAGTAAGCTTATAAATAGCTATAATTAACACTAAAATTAACACACTTATATGGATATATTACTTCTGAATTTTATTAACATGCTACGTTTCAATACACATACAGGTATTTGTATGTGATGCAATATATAGATGAACACTTTGGAAGCCATTTAGCAGATAAAACAATAACAACAATTAATTATCAAGTTCAAAGATGTAATATATATAGAGAGAGAAATGTGGTTTAACGTCCACTCGACACAAACTAGGTCATTTCGGGGGACTAACATGGTTTAATTTTATTTCAATAATTCGCTTGCGCATAGGGGTCTTTAGCAGTGGGAGGAAACCCCCCGATATGTCTTATAAGGATTAGCTATAATATAATATATTATTAAAACTACATGCAAAGACTGGTAGCTGGTAGTGTTGGGGTTTTTTTTTAAATTAATAACAATATTGCTACTTTCAGTAACACTTTGCTCAATTTATATTTTTTTTAATTTTTTCTTATATTATATGAAAAAAAATAAGAGATAAACCGTAATTATTGACTATCTGTATGAAGATAGCGGGGTGGGGGGGAGGAGCACCCCTGAGATAAAATGGAATTTGTTCAAATCTGGATTGATTCTGTTGGCATTTATTTTAATCCAAGCCTGGAGAGTAGACGTAAAGTGCTTTAAGCGAAATACAACAACTGTGTTTTAATATTTTATGACAATGAGGGTTAAGCCCAAAACAAGTAAAGACCTATATAATATGACATGGCCTCCGGTGGCTAAATTATGGTTTTCTAGTGTTTTCTGTCTAGTTTGTATGACACTACTAAACCAAGACCTACTCAAAACACACATTTATTATCAAAACACAAGTCATAATATTAAGGCCATGTAAAATGGGACATACAGTCAAATTACTACCTTAATGAACCCCAAGCAGATTCATGTAGATCATAATATTTTATTTGTACACAACTCACCAGGGCCTAAAATAACGTGCCTTGGAGCACGAATGTGCTTCGAAATTAAAAATCCGTGCTTCGAAAATAAGAAAACCGTGCTCTGAAAGAAATGGCGTAAGGCTCTGAAAAGTGTAAAGTAGCGATGCCTCCTGACCCCTAATAGTGTTTCCTCTTGTGGTGGTCAGATCAGCAGATCAGTTGGCGCCCGATCGACTCCCTCGGATGAGTCGAGTGAGCGCCAGTCGCATCCGCTCACTAGTCAGGTTTTCAGTAGGTTTGGTATCTGATCCGCTGCATCCTTGACCATTATTTCACTTTCACTTTATTTTTGACATAATTTTCGCTAATTTTTGGTATTATTGAAATAAGGATGGGAAACCGGAGCTTCATCCACCGGACACAGAATCCATGCTACAAGAATTTAACCTTATTTTAGGCCTTGCAACCCACAGCTGTATTATTTTTTATTAATGTTTTGTCCTAATCCCTTCTCCATATATATTTTAACACCTGACTATGAAAATTACATTATCATTTAAACATTTATTAAAGCCACTGTTAAATTCTTTGCAATCTATAAAATTGTGAAAGTTAAATCTCTAAAATGAATATCAGTTCAACCATTATTCAGTCCTGTTCAGAATTTACAATTATGATAAATTGAAAAGTTTGAAACATTCTGCATCCTCTGTAGGCAATGTAAAAACAAGCCAGTGCCACCTAATTAATAGTGTTGTGTAAAACTTTTTTGATGGGTCACATTTTAATCAGATTCAATGCAAACTGGGTGTTAGTCGACCACTGAGAGTTTATTTTCTTCAATATATAATCAATTTCATTATATTCTAACATGGATAAAACCATAAAGAATTAGATAATTACTTCGAAAAATGCGATGAGAGACGTTAATAAAAACCTAAGAGACATAGTATCTGCTTGCAAACTGGTCCACAGTCGCAATCTGTCTTATTCAGATCAATCTGTGAAACTGTAATGTGTTGTCGAGCGAGATATCTCCGGCTGAAAAGATGTATAGAACTAAGGCGACTTGCTGAATACTTACACAGCTTATGATCGTTATTCAAGAAATATCAGAGATATATCTAAAAATCGTAAAATAACTTTCAAAAAGTCTTCTTCATGATTTACACTATCTTAAAAAAATATGATCAAACAAGAAAATGTGTAACAGATTGTAATCAAATTAATTGATAGATTCACACAGTACCATACATTAAATTACCAAAATGTTGTTTTACAGTAGAAATGTACAAATATTTTTTCCCCTGAAATATAAATAATAATACCATTTCTGCAGTTTGCATTCTACTGACAGTTGGCTTTAAGTAGTGGTGTCCATGTTGTAAGGGAGGTAACTCTGTTTATACACACTTATATCTCAGAAGAATAGTTTTAGGAAAGAGAGACTATTCAGAATCATTGTATGCCAATAGCATATTATTTCATGAACTTTTTTTTTTTAACTTCAGATATTTGAACAAGTGGATTTTAACAAGAAACACAAGACTCAGAGTTTTAAGCCGCTGAATTTTGCATGTGTATTAAAGCTATCCAAAGCCCAGACAGAAGAGAAGGCATTCAAAGTAAGAAGTTATTTTAGACATTTTTTTTTTCTGACTAATTAGTAAGTAAAGTATCTTTATTACCGGGGGGTTGATCTTAGAACACAGGCCAGAAGACAACTGTGAACTAGGAGTGGAAAAATTGTTTTTTATGTACAATTCTTTGTGTAGAAGTCCTTGATATTATCCGCACTCGAGACAGGGTTGGATTCTGAACATGGTTAGGCCCTAAGCTACCAGAAACCATATGCATTCTGAAGAGTTTGTTTGAGAGGTATGGTAATTCCCTCCACCTTGACCCCCACTTCAGCCATGATTAGATGTAACTTGTCTAGTTTATGCCCAAATTTGGCCCTGACTTTAGACTAAGTGCCAATGCCCTCCAGATTCTACAATGACAACTTCAAGGAATTAGAAATAGAAATGACAGCTTTGACATTGAAATGAATAGCAGTTTCATCACCACATGTCCACCGACATTCAATGTGATGCAATTAGAACAAATTCTATTTCTAGGACATCAGAATTAAAAGCTAAACATTTAGTGAGAGAGAGAATTGGGGGTTTAATGTCCCCTCAACACAGACTAGGTCATTTCAGGACTAACATGTTTTAATTTTATTTCAATAATTCACTTGCATGTAGGGGTCTTTAGCAGAGAGTGGAAACCAGAGGACACAGAGAAAACCCACGAGGTTGGACATGTGACCCTATTCCTTGTCACATACTATCTAGGAATCAAAACCACACCACTTGACTCAATGACAGACCTTATGATGCAACAGCACTCGTTAACCATTCGACCACCCAACCTCCATTAAACCTTTAGTATATGAAATATTTTGGGAAACGGTGTCACAAATCATCACCAATACGACTTACAAAAGATAAGACTAACTTCCCCTACTCACAAGTTTTGGACCACTAGCCTCGAGGAATAGATAAATATGTAATCAGAAAGAGTTGAAATGCTGTTCAAGGACTGATCCAGGGGATGGATGAGGGTCGCACCATAAATTTCAGATCTCCATTTTGAAATCTTGTAGTGACAAAATCGTGAGTGCAGAAAACCATGACAGGTAGCCGGAGTGGCTTCCACTAGAAAATTTGAAAACATGGAACACTGTAGATGACATTTCCAACCATTTCAGTCAATGGAACCACTACATTTAACCTGAGAAGGTGGGGTGGGAGGGATTCGGACCACTCCAACCCCCTCCCACTTTGATCAATGCCTGCTGTTCTTATGCCGTAATTATTAATACCATTGTTGTTTTCTTACTGGTTTAACCAATCTTGGGGATCACGTGGCTAAGTGGCTCGCTAGCCTGCAGGTCGGGTGTTCGATCCCTGCATTGACCGAGAAAGTTCATCCAGATTTTCCGGCATGGTTTCCCCTTGTCAGTGATGCAGGACGCAGGGCCTGACAAGGACAGCTGTCTAGTTGTTTGGATGGGACGAAAAACCAAGGTCCCGTGTACATATTGGTGTGCACGTAAAAGATCCCTTGGCAGTTGGAATTCGATATAAGAGTAGGCTGTAGCGTCGCTGCCCGGGCAAAATTTCCCTCATAGCACACTTTATGGCGTATGCCCATCTTCATTAGCCCAGTTTAGGAGCAGAACAGTAGGACATTAAACCCCATTTCATTTCATTAACCAATCTTGATAAAACATCTAATCTATAAGACGACATGTAGTAGGTTGACTCAACATTTTGTAGAGCATAAGGCATGTACTGGATTCATTTTTTTGTTGTATAAATCTAGGATGTTATTATTATTATTACAGGATGGGTTAATAGATCAGTTGTATGAATTATTGATGGATCATATAAAATGTCACTCCCATTCTATCGGGTTTCCTGAGTTAGTTCTACCAGCTGTTTTACAGGTACACTATGTATTAAATATCTATTAAATTATTAAATGAGTACCTGTTAATCATTTGAAAGAGGGTTGTTTAACCTGAAATATTATGATGAATTTAAATCTGTTTTAGAGGGATTTTTGTATTGACTATTCTTGTTTGATCTCTCCAACTTCAATATTTTTTGATCCAGCACCTACACAGAGATACCGGTCTGTCCAGTCTCAGAGCACTGCTTTTCAAGGGGATTTTGTCGTTTCCCCATTTTCTATTCCCGATATGTTAAATATCTTTTAAAATTAATCTGAAAGCAATTTGAGTATTCAAAAAGAATTGTGAATAATTTAAGATTTAATGATAGGGGTGAGAAACTGTGGAATTCTTTGATAAATGGATACAGTCAAGCTTAGATATCCTAACCACATTGTAAACTCAGTTGCAATTGTCATGGTTAAAACCTACAGGCAATCAGTACTATTAAATTTGAGGCTGGGCAGGGAAACCGGTTCAAGTGCCAAAATTTCTCCATTTTCCCCAATCTGGTTAAAACACAGATCCTATTTCGTTTCGTTTTTATAGTTCAAAATTTTGTTTTACTTATCTTTCTTTACTACACTTGGATCTGGAAGAATTGTTATTTAACTCCTGTTCTGAATGGTGTCAGAGATAAGCCAATGAAACGGTCTGTTACGGTGAGCTTTAGGCGTGTTTTGCACAGAACTGTGGGTAATCCACTAGTAACATCAATGCTGATTGGTTAATCAAATGTCTGACGTCATAGGGTCATAAGTCGGTCTTTTGACCCCTGACGTGACCTATGGCTATAGGCATTTTTACGAGAAAACAAATCGGTTTCGATTACCTATCTTGTTTTGTACAAAGACATAGGTCTCGAGTTGGTATTCAAATCGGTTCTCGTGAACGCGATGAGTTGCCTCGCAAGATGGCTGAAGACTGAAGAGTTGAGGAAAAATGTTAAAAAAATTCACTTTTCTTTATTATGTACTTGGCGACACCGCCCAAAAATAAAAACGAAAAGTTGCCCACTTGACTGTCCCCAAATGCCCCATATTTTTATTATGAATGTCCATAATATTCATATTTTAACGTGAAATTCAAAAGAAAATGATCTAACGTTGGGCACGTCGTGTCCCTTGTTGGGGATGCCATCTTGGAAATCTAATCGTCAATCCGGCAGGCGAGCAAGTTGGAAGATTTGCATAATCGATTTGGCAAATCGTCGTGGTAAATACGGCAATTAGGTGAAACCGATTAGGCTAATTTTTGCCATAAATGTGTTTGGAAAGGAAATGCAAATTGATTAGCCCTAATCGGTTTCTCGTAAAAACGTCTTATAACTTGTCAGATCTTCATGTAGTGTAGGCCATCGGAAGTATAAAAAAAACGAAATGAAATATAGATCTGTATTTTAATCCGATTGCATTTTCCCCTAAATATCACCAGACACTGGAGTAACCTAATATAAGAAAAGTGACTTTCACATTATTTACCGAAGGATATGAATATTGATAATATTGGTGAGATTCTTGGTGCTATATATAGATTGGAATATTAGTCTGGAAGATTCTCGTTTGAATTTGACACATAATGTTCAAAAGGTGTTCAGAGGAATAGATAGAAGTGCAGTGATTGTCCAAATTTCTTTGACCGCCCTTGTAGGTGCCAAAATATTGGGGGCGTTGAGCGTTGGTGGCCACTGTGACATCCTTCCCCCTATATGCCACTGGTAATACCTTCTAGGTTGATAAACTGAAATGATGAACTTATAGAATATTTTTTTGTTACAGTTGAAATCATTTTTAAAGAAATGTAAAATAGCCAATTACTGTAAACAGATCAAACAGATACTGGATAAAATTGATGAAAATTCTAAATTTATCACACAGAAGAGAAAAAATGTCAATTTCACATTGGCAGACGACAATGGAGTTGTAAGTATAACAGTTGTAATATAAAATTTTGTATTTTTTCTCTGTTTTAATACAATTCAGTTGCATGTGTGTATGTATATACTACTAGTCTTTTCTCACAAATCAACATTTGTCATCATTTGTCATTAAACCCAATTCATTCACATATTGTATCAACATTTTGCAAGCTGTGAGGATCTTCCAATATATAAGGGAGGTAATTCAATCCGATATAAATCATTACAACAATTGTTAGATCCTTTAAATGAAATAATCCAAGCATTTGTTACCTCACTCCACTCATCACTAGTAACCTTCATTGCCACAATATATTGTTGATTAAATTGCACAGTCAAACTACACATGGTTATAAGATTCACACCCTTTTCACCCTTCTTACTCGTACTTGCCTGCTTAGCCCCATGCATTCAAATCTTTACAAAGGACATAGCTGTTATATTTGTTGCTTAGCAAAAGACACTTTATCTTATTAGTTAGTTTAAAGAGCTGTCAGTTCTCACTATAATAGTTAAAACTAGATAATGTAAAGACAATTTGCTGAAAATTCTGTCAAATTGATCCACTCTGAACCGAGAATTTAGCGATTGAATTTTGGGCCTAGCCTTGATCATCATTACAAAAGTCGATACAGGCGTAGAGCAGCAGATCGGATCCCAATCCAGTAAATATCGCAGACTAGCAATGACATCAAGAGTTCATTATGGTCTGGATAAGTTAATCCATGTCTAATTAATAATTTAGATAACATTTCTGTCATAAAGAAAGACCTGCAATAGGCAGATTTAGCTCTTGCATAATGTATGTTTAATATAAATGTTCTTTAATAAAGGATGTCTGGGAGAGAAAATGTAGAGAAGAAGGAACTCCAGTTAGTAAATTTTATGCATCTTGGAGAGTTTTACGCGATAAAGAATTACAACATGAAATATCTGGTAAAGATAGGGTAAGTAGAAACATTATTTACCTGGGTAATAATACACCTGTATGCTTAAGATGACCAGGTATATCATATGGGTGGTGGGGTGAGGGGATTTTCAAAATATGTGATTTGGAGGTTGCCTTGGATAAGGGACTACATCAACAGAAATAATTGCCAACCAGGTCACAGGTTTGAGCTTTGTGTTGACTGAGAAAGTTGTACAGGAATTTCCAGTCCTATTTCCATTCATCAGTGATGCAGGCCGAAGGGCGCAGCAAGGAAAAGAGTTTAGTCATTCGGATATTTGTATTTGTATATTTAGTCATTTGTATACTTTTGGCACAATGTTAAAGATCCACTGACAGTTAGACATCGAAATTTCCTTTATTATATGATTTTGTGGCTGTCAAGTATTCATATGCACATTGACTAATAATGAAAAGTATCAGTTAATAAATGAATAATAGTTCAATATTTATTTTTTTAGTTGGCAGATGTTACTGAATTACCCAAAATAAATCGACCAAAGGGGCCTGTTAAACCTACTGATAAAGAAAAAGAAGAATTTTCGGCTTTGTTTGATGGTGATGATGATGATTCAGAAGATGATGAATCTAGGTAAATATGGAAAATCCTTGCTCTTTACCTTGATTGTTGTTTTTTTAAAAGAAAAATGCAGGAAAGATAACAAAATTTGCATGACAAAGGGGGTGTTCCTTTTCGACTGTATCAGTATTATGCTTGAAAATAAAAAAAGGATTATTGTAGCTCTGATTAAAAAAAACTGTTGTGATTATTTTAATATGTTCAGTTATTAAATACCATTTAACTCTTGAGCACCTTTACATGTAAATAATGACTATGCAAGTTCGTTGAAAACATGAGGAGAAAAGTGATATTGTTGATACTGGTATATCAATTGACAGCCCGACACTACTGTTCTCTAGACAGCCTCTAACCATCCAAGAATAGCTCTCAGTATTATAGAACTGTTAACAAGTCCTTGGGAGTGCCACAACTGTTCACGCAGCTTGGGCGGTTTGGGGCAGTCTAAGGAACCCATCTTAAAGCGGTTGCGAGCAGTCCCAAGTGCTAAAGAGTTAAACAGTCGTTTTAACATCATTATCAATATGGCCAGTGAAAAGAATTAGCAGATTTTTAAAAAATATATAAATTTTCATAGATAGACAAAATATTCATATATTTTTAGAACTGTACCAATAATGGACTTATAATCATATATATAAAGTTCTATATTTAATTGTATAAAGCTCTATATTTAATTATATAAAGTTCTATATTTAATTGTATAAAGCTCTATATTTAATTATATAAAGTTCTATATTTAATTGTATAAAGCTCTATATTTAATTCTATAAAGTTCTATATTTAATTGTATATTTATAGATTTAAAGTAGATAAAAAGATGACAAAAAAGAAAGTCAAAGCAAGGGAAGATTCAGAAGAAGATGAGGAATTCGATAATTTAAGGTAAAACTTTAAACCTTTTATCATTTTAAAGTTATAAATAATATCATTAGTATATTAATAAAAATCTTATATATCTATAGGGCTAGATTAATTAATCATTTATGGAGGTTGGGGAGTCTAAAATGTGCGCATGAAATCATGAGGTCTGTCATCAAATCAAGTGGCGTTGTTTCGATTCCTGACTCGACATGCTAAGGCGTAGGGTCACCTGTACAATCTCTTGGGTTTTCTCCGGGTCCTCAGGTTTCCTTCCACTACTAAAGACCCTTAACACACAAGCGAATTATTGAAATAAAATTGAACCATATGTTAGTCTCGAAATGACCTAGTTTGTGTTATGTGGATGTTAAACCTAATTAATTATTTACCTACACTTGTAAACAATCATTTATAATCACTAGTTTGTTACGCATATAGCACAATGTTTTGAAAGTGTCCTTTTAGCGTTTTCAAGCACAACTAATCAGTGACAGGATTTAATATTTGATTGCAAGAACTGAATTAATTTTTTTTTCAGTGATTATGACAGTGATGAATTAGAACAATTGGCTCAATCAGCTAGTGATGATGATGATGAGGATGAGGAAGATGATGAGGAAGATGATGATGATGATGATGATGATGGTGATAGTGGCGAAGAAGTCAGTGTTCAGAAAAAAACTATTCGTAAACCAACTATGAATAGAATGGACAGAAAAAGAAAATTATTAGATGAAGGACAAGGAAAAGACGATGTTGTCAAAGAATTTAAACTGAATGATTTTTAGAACTAAAAATTGATTATAAAATATAAATATTAATTACCAGTAACCACTAGAGTAAGATTTGCATTATTCCACACAAATTTTCAAAAAATAATTTCCATGCTGTCAGCTTGACTCTTCATGAAATTGTAAGAAATGTAAATCATTTAGTTTTTAACTTACACAGAGACTATACCATAAATTTAAAATATGATCTATTAAGACTGTTTGAAAGAAATATGTAGATTCATCATTATTAAAACCATTCTGAACACTACTTATATATTATTCTGATGCATACAAGACAATAATATTGCTAGTATTTAGTGTGTGTAGACAAGTTTACAGTCTGAAGAGCCACAAATCTATTCACACCCATACTCACAATTTTGTTTGTCCTACGGTCCTGAGTATTTATTTTGGAACATAGTAAACTTAAATATGAAATGAACAACAACATCAATAATTTGTCCAACCAAATGAACAAGAAAAAGCATGGTAACGTGTGCAATGCTAGGGGGGGGGGGGAATTTTATATGCAAGCCAAGTGTAACCTGTTTAATTTTGTCCCATCACATCATCAGGTCCTACTAATTACCAAAGGTTTTTTTGGGGTTTTATTTTGGGGGGGGGGGGGTCAATAGCTTCGGAAGTATTGCAAAATTGGTCGACAATGGAAAGATAGGTATGCATATTCTACATGGACAGGCAACCCTACTCCATGTCATGTACAACCGGGGAATCGAAACCAAGCCAGTTGACTCAATGACAGACTTTATGATACAGCGCGCACATGCTAACCATTCAGCCATCCAACCCCCGTAATAAAATAGAGGTTTGTGCTGCTTTTGTAAATGTCAAGAAGTATAGGGTGACCTGTTAATCGTGTGGGTTTTCTCCCAACTTCTTCATTCCCCCACTATTAAATAAATCATGTTCTAGCAAGCTAATGAAGGAACAATGGCAAGCTTAGGTGTAAATCCTAGATTACAGTTTGTGTTCGTTTAAATTTGTTCTCTGTACAGATGTTGAGATGAGATATAGTTGATTATGTCCAAATATGAAACCGAAATTACCAAATACACTGTTGTTTTACTGTTCTGATCTAACTGGTCTAATGAAGACGGGCATATGCCATACAGTGTGCAAGGAGGGTAATTTTGCCTGGACAGCAGCACTGCACCTTACTCTTACATCGAATTCCAACTGCCAAGGGATCTCTTACGTACACTCCAATGTGTAAATGGGACCTCAGATTTTCGTACCATCCGAACAACTATACATTATCCCCTACCAGCCCCTCTGTCCCGTATCACTGACGTGACAAGGAGGAACCATGCTGGAAAATCCCGATGAACTTTCTCGACCATCGTAGGGATCGAACAAGGAAATCCTGGTTAGTGAGCCACTGTGACTCCTCTTTCTATAGAGCTTGTCCCAAAAAACCAATTAAATAAAAGCATTGAACATAATATTATATAGTACGAATTTATTTGAATCAGTATTATGCCTAATGGGGAAAGTTAACAGGATTTTAACTTATCTCAAAATACTGAAACCGGTTCTTGCTATTGTTCATTAACAGTTCGTTAATATTTACGCTTAATATTCTTCTCCCTCGCCTTCTTCTCCTTCACCTTCAACAGAATCAACACCAACTTCTTCATAATCCTTCTCTAGGGCAGCCAAATCTTCTCTAGCTTCAGAAAATTCACCTTCTTCCATACCCTCACCAACATACCAGTGGACAAAAGCTCTCTTGGCGTACATCAGGTCGAATTTATGATCGAGACGAGCCCAAGCTTCAGCAATAGCAGTGGTATTACTTAACATACAGACAGCCCTCTGTACCTTGGCTAAATCACCTCCTGGAACAACAGTTGGTGGTTGGTAGTTGATACCGACTTTAAAACCAGTTGGACACCAGTCGACAAATTGAATGGTTCTTTTGGTCTTGATGGTGGCGATTGCAGCATTGACATCTTTAGGAACAACATCACCTCTGTACAACATGCAGCAAGACATATATTTACCATGACGCGGATCACATTTTACCATCTGATTAGCTGGTTCAAAACAGGCGTTGGTGATTTCAGCAACAGTTAATTGTTCATGGTATGCTTTCTCTGCGGAGATTACGGGGGCGTAAGTAGCCAAAGGGAAATGTATACGTGGGTAGGGTACCAGGTTGGTCTGAAACTCGGTCAAATCTACATTTAAAGCACCATCAAATCTTAAAGATGCTGTGATTGAGCTGACGATTTGTCCAATAAGTCGGTTCAGATTGGTATATGTTGGTCGTTCAATATCTAGATTTCTACGACAGATATCATAAATAGCTTCGTTATCCACCATAAAAGCACAGTCAGAATGTTCTAAAGTGGTATGAGTCGTTAGGATAGAATTGTAGGGTTCAACCACGGCAGTGGAAATTTGTGGAGCAGGATAAACAGCGAACTCTAGCTTAGATTTTTTGCCATAATCAACACTCAACCGTTCCATGAGGAGGGAAGAGAAACCAGAACCAGTTCCGCCTCCGAAACTGTGGAAGATGAGAAATCCTTGTAGACCAGTACATTGATCAGCCAACTTCCTGATTCTGTCTAGAACCAAATCAATGATTTCTTTACCAATGGTATAGTGACCTCTAGCGTAGTTGTTGGCGGCATCTTCTTTACCAGTGATAAGTTGTTCAGGATGGAAAAGTTGACGGTATGTACCAGTTCGTACCTCATCTACAACCGTCGGTTCCAAGTCAACAAACACAGCTCTTGGTACATGTTTACCCGCACCAGTCTCGCTGAAGAATGTGTTGAAGGAATCGTCTCCACCTCCAATAGTTTTATCTGATGGCATCTGACCATCAGGTTGAATTCCATGTTCTAAACAGTACAATTCCCAACAGGCATTGCCCATCTGGACACCAGCTTGACCAATATGAACAGAGATACACTCACGCTGAAAATAGATAATCAATAAAATTTACAAAAAAATCGCTTTTTCATACTATATCGATAATTTAAAAAAGTCTACGGATAACATCAATTGCCCTTTAAGATAATAGTTAAAAGCACATCAGAAAGTAATAAATGGACACTATTTTAAAGTAAAGACTATTGTTATTATGAAATTGAGAACATTTGAGTACAAGAAACGTTCAATTAGAAAGTACTGACGATAGTACAATTAGTAATACTACATTTGTCTATAGGATATAAAGATGGGATGTGAAACTAGATGTTATCATTTGAATAACTTTCGATTGAGTATGTTCTTAAAATATATAATATGTTGGTGGTTCAATCAACAGAAATACAATTTTTTAATATCCACTTTAAATAATTCCAAAACTTAGAAACGAGTTAGTAGACATTTCATTTGCTTACTGTCCATTTTTTCACCCTATTCCTACTCGTTAAAAATATTTAAAAATATAACGACTCGCTTTTATTTCTTTTGACAAAACGACAATTCAATGTGAAAGATACATTAATTAAAATCCACAAGGGACATGGTTTCTTTCTATTCTCAAATATCATATATAACATAATAGACTATCAACTGTGATACATACCATATTGACGATTTAGTCTAATATTACTGTACAATTAGTTTAAAAGACTGTGAGGTAGTTCTAATGAAGAAGAACCGTCACTGTATGATGTAAACACTCTCGTTAACTATCCTTTTATATCTTCCTATCATATGTATAATGGAGGTATGGTGGCTTATGGCTGTTATGGGTTACTAATCCAAGCAGATTATCCCATTAACAAATTCGATAATCTCAAGTCTTCAATTAGTTTGTGAAAAGATTAAAAGTATTATTGATTTAACGGAAGCACGTTGTATGTATCCATAAAGAGTCAACAGATTACCACATTTATAAATTGATAAGGGTTTCGATAATCCCGAGTCTTCAATTATTGTTGTGAAGAGAATTGTTAGTAGTGTTAATTGTTGTTTGTATCTATGTAGAATCAACAGTTAGGTATAGTATATAACCTTGGTCTGTCAAACACTTTATATTATACAGTGACTGTTCTACATTATCAGAACACCTTCACTTAATATACAGTATCAACAATCAGATAAACCAAAAACCAGCAACATGGTGAGTAAAAAATCTATCTTTATTTTTACAAACTTCGTGGCGATATACATCAAAGCCAATTTTTAGAACAAATGGCTGATTATTGATTTTCTCGCTTCGATTATGGTTCTTGAGAGATTACTACTTTCATCTTTTATTCAGAATTTTTTTTTTTATTTAGTTTAGATTCTTTCTTTCGACAATAAATGTATACCGGGCCTTTTTTATGAATCAAAATTTTTTATGCCGGGTCTTTGTGTCCATTTATTGTTTAAAGTACTTTTGCCATAATATGATCTTTTTTAAATTATCCCTACTTATTTATTAATCAGTACAATCTGACTATTCGGCTTATTTGTCTCTGCAAAGCATATAATATATCACTTACGTGACCAATAGATTTATTCAAAGTGACCTACTGACTTTATCAGGTACATCTAAAAAATGTTATCTGTAGAATTTATCAAATATCTATTTAATTCCTAAAAACAATTTTCTTTATTCTCTATTTTCAGCGTGAGTGTATCTCTGTTCATATTGGTCAAGCTGGTGTCCAGATGGGCAATGCCTGTTGGGAATTGTACTGTTTGGAACATGGAATTCAACCTGATGGTCAGATGCCATCAGATAAAACTATTGGAGGTGGAGACGATTCCTTCAACACATTCTTCAGTGAGACAGGAGCCGGTAAACATGTACCAAGAGCTGTGTTTGTTGACTTGGAACCGACGGTTGTAGATGAAGTACGAACTGGTACATACCGCCAACTCTTCCATCCTGAACAACTTATCACCGGTAAAGAAGATGCCGCCAACAACTACGCTAGAGGTCACTATACCGTGGGTAAAGAAATCATTGATTTGGTTCTAGACAGAATCAGGAAGTTGGCTGATCAATGTACTGGTCTACAAGGATTTCTCATCTTCCACAGTTTTGGAGGCGGAACTGGTTCTGGTTTCTCTTCCCTTCTCATGGAACGGTTGAGTGTTGATTATGGCAAAAAATCTAAGCTAGAGTTCGCTGTTTATCCTGCTCCACAAATTTCCACTGCCGTGGTTGAACCCTACAATTCTATCCTAACGACTCATACCACTTTAGAACATTCTGACTGTGCTTTTATGGTGGATAACGAAGCTATTTATGATATCTGTCGTAGAAATCTAGATATTGAACGACCAACATATACCAACCTGAACCGACTTATTGGACAAATCGTCAGCTCAATCACAGCATCTTTAAGATTTGATGGGGCTTTAAATGTAGATTTGACTGAGTTCCAGACCAACCTGGTACCCTACCCACGTATACATTTCCCTTTGGCTACTTACGCCCCCGTAATCTCCGCAGAGAAAGCATACCATGAACAATTAACTGTTGCTGAAATCACCAACGCCTGTTTTGAACCAGCTAATCAAATGGTAAAATGTGATCCTCGTCATGGTAAATATATGTCTTGCTGCATGTTGTACAGAGGTGATGTTGTTCCTAAAGATGTCAATGCTGCAATCGCCACCATCAAGACCAAAAGAACCATTCAATTTGTCGACTGGTGTCCAACTGGTTTTAAAGTCGGTATCAACTACCAACCACCAACTGTTGTTCCAGGAGGAGATTTAGCCAAGGTACAGAGAGCTGTTTGTATGTTAAGTAATACCACTGCTATTGCTGAAGCTTGGGCTCGACTCGACCATAAATTCGATCTGATGTACGCCAAGAGAGCTTTTGTCCACTGGTATGTTGGTGAAGGTATGGAAGAAGGTGAATTTTCTGAAGCTAGAGAAGATCTGGCTGCTCTAGAGAAGGATTATGAAGAAGTTGGTGTTGATTCTGTAGAAGGTGAAGGGGAAGAAGGCGAGGGAGAAGAATATTAAAGCTTGGTTGAAGAGTATTTGGTGAATTTTGAAATGGCCATTATTACTGAATAAAAATTATTCCCATGGAAAATGTTGTTACAGGATAAATGATTACTCGAATGGGGGACAGAACTGGGCACTACAGTCTCCCGAAGTGTGCTATGAAGGAAATTTTTGCCCGGGCAGCGGCACTACGGCCTACTCTTATATCGAATTCCAACTGCCAAGGGATCTTTTACGTGCACGCCAATGTGTACACGGGACCTCGGTTTTTCGTCCCATCCGAACGACTAGACAGCTGTTCTTGTCAGGCCCTCAATCCTGCATCACTGACAAGGGGGAAAACACGCCGGAAAATCTGAATGAACTTTCTCGGCCAATGCAGTGATGGAACACCCGACCTCCAGACTAGCGAGCCAGCGTCTTACCCACTTAGCCACGTGATACCCTACATCTAAATAAAATAATGGTTATAAAATTTATTAAAATCCAGTTCTCACAGCAATTATTTCAACAGAAATCATCTGCCATGAAATAAAAGGACATTGCACGGGGAATAAAAGCAGGAAGTTATGTTTTAGTTGTATTCTAGACATGTTACTGGAATGGAAAATTGGGTGACCCAATAATCTAACGCGTGTTCCTTAGATCATAAGATTTGTCATGGAGTTAAGTGACGTGGTTTCGACCCCAAGCTTATACGTGATAATTCTAGGGTCGCCGATGAAACCTCATGGGTTTTCTATTGGCACTTCGATTTCCTCCCACTGCTCAAATATCCTTATGCCCATGCAAATTATTGAAATAAAATTGAACCGTATGTTAGTCCCGAAATGACTAGATACCCTTTAATTTTTTTTAGTTACAAATAAGTAACCCTAGCCTTGACATGGTAAGCATACATAATATACAATACAGAGCGTACATCAAGTCTACTGAATTAGTATATAAATAAGAAATAAAATACTAACTCAAGAGATTTATAATAATAATATACTAACAGTGGAGCAACATGACAGATCAATAAGCATCCTTCTAAGCAAAATTGGCGAATCTATCATCATAAATATATTTATTCAATTCATCATGAATATATCAATTAGATCACCATAAATAAATTGTTACAACTCACATAAATAAGATAGATTGCCAGGCAACGAAACATACGCCCACAGCAGCTATATCGTTCGGGCAGTCAACAAGAGTTGTCGCATATTTTTACTTTTTTCGGTAATGAAACATTTATAATACATTAACATCTGATTAAGAGCAACAACTGATTAAGTAATTATCAGAAAACCATTACAATTTGTTTGTTTTTTATAAAGTTCTGCCCCATGTTAACATTTAGTGTACGGAACTTTTAACATCATGGATTTAGCTGTTCAAGTCAAAAAGATTCATTGAAAATCAATATACATGTTTGTCTCAAGACCTTAAACTCTGTGTACCAATCTGAAGACAATCGTATGATAACTTTAGCCTCTAGAGCGTCACAAGATTTTTCAAAGTGATCAAGGGCCATAACTCTGGCAGTATTTATCGGAAATCACTGAAAATCAATAGGCTTCTTCGTCTCATGGCCTTAAACACTGTGTATAAATTTAAAGTCAATCGGATATTAACTTTGACCTCTAGAGCGACCACAAGATGTTTTGAAGTGATCAAGGGTCATAACTCTGGCAGTAATTATCGAAAATCGCTGAAAATCAATAGGTTTCTTCGTCTCATGGCCTTAAACACTGTGTATAAATTTAAAGTCAATCGGGTATTAACTTTAGCCTATAGAGCGTCCACAAGCAATTGTGGACGCCGGACCGACGGACGGACGGACGGACGGGGGCGACAACAATATACGACCACATTTTAATGTGGGCGTATAAAAATCAATCAGATCTTCATAAATAAAATCAATCAGATCTTCATAAATAAAATCAACCAGATCATCATAAATAAATTCTTACAATTTATTATAAATAAATTCTTACAATTTATTATAAATAAATTCAATCAGTTCATAAATAGAATGAAATCACCTGGAAATGTGAATGAAATCTAATTATTCTTATGAAAAATAAATTAATTATAGACATACATGTACACGCAAACATGGGGAAGTATTTTTGTTGGTTTTCCATTTTTAATATCAAAATAAGCCAAAGTCATAAAGATGAATGCCATAGATATGATAAGAAATGTTTGTATTATACGTTCAAGATGCATTATGTAACAGTTAAATCTGCCTATTACAGGTCTTTTTCTGGCTTCAAATGTTATACAAATTTTTATTCAGACATACATACACACATTCCATTCTCTCTAGAGCATCCGGTGGACCAGATATTGAATAGATTAGAACAACATTAAAATGTATAATCGAGACTTTGTTTAATATCGTAGTAATGGTACTTGACAATCGAGATTATTTCAACAGGCATTATGCAAGAGCTAAATCTGCCTATTGCAGGCATTTCTTAAGGCTTTAAAATACTTTAAATGGTATATAAAGATACATTATGCAAGAACTAATTCTGCCTATTGCAGGTCTTTCTTAATGCCTTAAATGGTATATAAATTATTAATTAGACATTAATTAAAGATACATTATGGGAGATTCGGTAACGAGTTGGCAGTTCTCACTATAATAGTTAAAAACTAGATAATGTAAAGGCAATTTGATGAAAATTTCATTCAAATTGATCCACTATGAACCGAGAAGTAAGCGACTGAAATTCCCATAAGCCTCGGTCATCATTACTAAAGTCAGTACGATAAACAGCATGGTCTCGATTATCCATTTAATCGAGAAGGAAAGTTATGCAGTAAATAGGCTTACAATCCACTAAAGATCGCAGGCTAGCACTGCCATCTAGAGTTGATTATGGCCTGGATAGGTTAATTAATGTCTAATTAATAATTTAGATAACATTTCAGGCCTAAAGAAAGACCTGAAATAGGCAGATTTAGCTCTTGCATAATGTATGTTTAACATGACAAGACCATAATCACCTCTCGCTGCCATCGGATGGCTCCGATTTTAAGTAGATTAGAACAATTCGGCTATTTCATGATTTAATTTAAAACTGGATAATCAAGACTTTGTTTATTATCTTAACAACAGTAGCGATGACAATCAAGGCTACATTGTTCTTCTAGCGACGATAAATTTGACTGGAATTTTCAACATCTTCCTTTTTCATTATCTATTTTTTAACCATTCTAGCAAAAACTAATCTTATATAATGTCCCTTTAACTAATATCGTGTTAACTTCGCTCAGAATAAAGTAATTTGACTGAAATTTCCAATATATTCATTTAGCAAATTCTATTTTTGAACTATTATATCTTACATAAATGCATCTTTAATAATTGGGCTAAGCATGACAATGATATTTAAAAAAAACATTTTGTGATTACGTTTTAAAATCATACTTATTTTCACATTTGAAAGTTACATTTAAACTTCGATAATGTCTATAAATATCTTTAGGGTGTGTTGGTTTTCAGTCTATTAACGAATCTATTATTGTGACTTTACATTCGAGGCACTCGACGGAAAAAACACTTGTACGTAATAAAGCCAACAATGGCCACTATGGTGACTACAAGCCAGTTATTATTAATATTAATAGTTCCTGAAACAGATAATAATAAAATATAACTAAACTATTTTTACAATATAACCATGTCTTTACGACAAACCTAACTTGGGCCTACTGATCGATCTGCGAATCAAATACATTAGCCGAAATGGCTGACAAATGAAATGGGGGTTTAACGTCTTGGCTAATCGGACTAATGAAGACGGGCATACACCATGCAGTGAGTTATGAGGAAAATTTGGTTCTGACAGCAGCGCTATGAGCGATGACCTACTCTTATTTCGATTTCTTACTGTCAGTTGATCTTTTACATCTACACGGGGCCTCAGATTTTTCGTCCCCTCCCTCGGTCCCGGATCAGTTGATTGGAAACTCTCGCGGAACTTTGACGGCCAGCACACCGAGCCACGCCCACAGGGTTAGCTGCAATCGGTACATTCATTAATACTTTGCGCAAGTGAACGTTGGCCAAACGAATAATTTTCATCACATATAATAATTCGTTTTGAAATACATGTTTTTATCATAAACAGTGAAGTATGAAACATTAAAAAGGCCACCAACCTGCCTCTCTATGAGGAAATGCGTTTAAAACGTTGCCTTTTGGTGTTCAAAGAAAAATTACGGTGAAAATAGAAGACAAGGTCTCAAGACAGCCTTAGGACAGAGGTGGGGTGGAGGGGTATTTTCATAGTTCTTGTTAATAGGAACGGTCAGGGGATTTCTCTTCCGATCAAAGACCGTTTCGAAAGGTACTATCCCTAGCCTACTCTGGCTAGAGTCAAAGACGGAAGTTGTCAGTAGTGGAACCATTTCTATCTCAGAGTCACCGTTGATTGAACATCGCAAAAAGTCAGCGAACCAATGGCTGGTAATACAGCTCTACAGAGATGTGGCCACGAGTAAGAGAATACTAACAGATGAACTCTGTCAAAGATCAAAGGATCATATTCGTGTTAGAAGTCTGTCTTTGACAATTGCTATGTAGAAGAGTTTGAGTATAACATACCCGCATATGGCGTTGTCCGTTCTGTGGTCTTGGTATCTAAAAAATTATCAAAAAGAATAATTTGTAGCTTATGAAATAGCAAATTCTATAACACTCAGCTCAAGAATCTAAAGGATAATCTTGAAATGGATTCATAGCCACAGAAGTTGCTATATTTCGTAGAGGGTAAGGCAGTGACAACCGGTGAGGTCAGAACAAACAAAAAGTTAGTGCTAGTGTTAGAGTTTGTGTCAGTAAAAGAATTAATTTGATGTTCAGGTTAGAAAAAGAGTTACACTTTGGAAAATATAATAAATTTTAAAATTGAAACTCATGGTCATTTTCCATAACTGTTTTGTTTTATCTAAGTACATTATTAGTCGAGAATTATATAATGCATCTAAGACAAGCATTTATAACTTAATTTTTACTTAATTATTTACCTCTAAACTTAACATTGTCTCGCTGTTTTGACCTCAACCAAATTTGTAACATTATCTTAGCTTTTAATTACTCAAGTCAAGTGAATCCAACACTAGTGTCACTCTAGTATTTCCACAATCTCAGCCCATGAAAGTTTTCCTATTTTTTTTAACATGGGCTCCAATATGACACCACTACCTCTATCCCTTAGGGGTTAACACTTTGTGGATGTCAAAAGTAAGATGTCAAGTATTATCTAATTTTTATAAAATGTTGTTATTTTTTCATCTAAGATCATTATTCAATATTAAAAGTCCTTCAATATTTATACAAAACACACAAAATATGATACTTCTTGGGGTTAATTCTTCAGAAATAAACCAAAAAATTATCGACGCAGGATAAGCGGAAGCTATGTTTGAATTTATTTCGGGTAACACTAGTCTTGTGTGGAGATTCCATCTTGTAATTTTATCCACATTTGATTGAAAATAAAGCTGTAATTATCCCCCTTTTTCCCTTATACACTTTAGTTGATGTCAAAAGTTAGGAAAATAGTAATACTAATGTTACATTACATCATAACTGTTTACTCCAACACTACATTTGACCTCACCCAATGTATACCTACCTTCAGTCGGTTCTTCCGGAGACTCTGGCTTACCGCTGCATTTTCTGTTTGCTTTTGGTGTACCTAAAAAATTATCAACACAAAAGTCATATTTCTTAGTTTAAAAAAGCTGAAAGTAATCGTATAGTTTAACAAACGGATGATCTACTGACGAATGGGAACAATGGCAGCATCAGAGTGAGAATCGAAAGTAAAAACAGACAAAATGTAGAATGGTCTCCAGTGTTTTAAAATTCTAGTTATCTAATAATATTGTTCTAATTTGATCAAGGTATTTTGTCTGTTTGGAACAGGAACTGGGCACCAACTGCTACTCATCTTATTGTCCATATTGTTATTCTGGGGGGGGGGGGCGCTCTTCGAATAAAGCCAAAGCCTAAGACTCCTCCAATTCTTGTACGATCGACATAAAACTTGGCACGTTTGTTCCTTGGACACATGTGCATTGAGGGGGGGGGGGGGGGGGGCGATGACGTCATGCCCAGTCTCTGGTCCGTAGTAAGGTGTTACAGGTTTTCATGGAGGCGGAATTTTCCCTAATGATTGATTAATTCTTGACCTGTTAATGAAGACTATAGTCTCTTCCTTTTAAAATTCTGTCTGTTTTTAAACTATGAGTTTTACCTTTATTTACATCTTAATCTAACTGTGATATTTTTATTGTGTGTACATGATTTTTTTCCAGAAAAGTTGTAACCAAATAATTTTCAGATTCCAAAAACCCACTTCTATTTAATTCAATTGGAAATACCCTAAGCAGCAGAAAATAGATGATTGGGGCATACAAAGGATATATTTGAAAATTAACGCAAAAATCAACAGACGTTTAACCAAAATCTACAACTTTCATGTAAAATCATGACGTCACAAGGTAGTTGACGCCAAATTTCTTACATTCTACTTCTATTTTCTGACCATTTCCACACACTGTACATTTTTTACAGATCCCTTCTCCGTCGATTTGTGGCTCCTCGTATTCACCATTGGGGCACTGGCATTTGAGATCTGATATTTTACTGCAAGCCTGAACCTCCACTTGACTCCATGGGCACTGGGATCGACAATCCTCACAGGAAGTAGCCTTATTGGCTATCTCGCTATATGTATTAGGTGGGCATTCGACACATTTAGGTTTTCCAGTATGCTCATCACAATATTCCATATAATATCCTTTATCACAGTCATCTCGACACTGAAAACAATACACAAATTCAGTTAGTGGAATTTTATCCGTATTTCACTCTTTGGATTAAATAACTAAACCGTATCAGACGACCATTAAATCATTTTTTTTTATTAAACAAAAATGGGGATTTAATAGTGTTATATGTCATCTTGGGCTTTATGTTCGTGGATAGAAAAACAAGATGGCGGCATGTATCCAAAATAGTTACGTCAAATGTTGGCAAATCATTTGCGCGTGTTTTAGCTGGCTATATTATAGTCAAATAAACCCAGACTGGACCTGGGCTAAACAAATGAAGCATATGTATCTAGAAACATTCCGCTAAGACAGTAAGTAAAAAAAAAATGCAGATTCTCTTGGACAAACATCGGAATAGTAGCCAATATTTGTAATTTGAATGAATATATTTTGTTATAAAGAAACTTAAGTCAAGCTCCCTCTCCTGGTTATTAGGACAGAGTATAAGGTCGTAATGTGTCAGGTGAAAGTAGACTATCCTGTGCCTTGCCGTTGTATTTCTAATTAGAGGGCTGTGGAGAGTCGGGACCACGAGGCTCTTTTGTCAGTTTTCTATATCTTAGATGACCTAGATTTCTTGATCATTTTCGCACAGATATACCTTATGTGAAACACTGGTGGAATACTGGATGCTGGACCCCGTCAATATCGTAAGACGTAGTATGTTTATTGATTTGCCAGTGACGAACTGAAGAAATGTTCAAAGTTTGTTGCATGTATATCAGAAGTTTTGCACTACTAAACCCTTCCTTATACCATTCATAGTTTTCATAACATTTTGTGTAATTCTACATTTAGGCCGACTGGTAAAAGGACTTTTGTGTTCACGACACATTTTTCAAAAGAAATATTATCTTACCTCTGCTAATGTTTGGTCTACCAGTAGGAACAAGATTGGGCATAATAGGTATACCGTCCGTGTCATCATTCAGCTTCTGTGAACCCATAAAAAGAAAGACAATATCAAGGTGCTTAAAACTATTTTTGGGGTTTGATAGTATCATCAGATCCAGGGTGTTTAGGAAGATAATGTGGATGCCAAGAGAATAAAGTATTCTTACACTGAGAGGTAAACTATTGGAAATGAAAGGATGACCACATGCCTTTCTAAAATTCAATATTCTGGGTATCGGAAGAAAAAATAAAATGTCGAATTACGAAAGAAAAAAGAATTTTCAGATCCCATTACTTTACACACGAACACACCCTCTTTCGGACACTGCTCATACACCGATACGTCTGCCACTATATGTATATATTAATCAATCTTTACCTTAGTTTATCACATTTATGTCTAATAAATAAACAGTCATTTTGTATTTAAAAATGCAAGGAAGATTGCTTTAAGTCACAAAGGTGCATAAAATGCAGATAAAATTTGAGCTAAAGCGAACGAGATAGAAACGTTGTCTTGACAATATATACCATAAAGAGTAAAGAAAAAGTATATAAATATTATCTATAGTTCACTTATCTTACATTACCTTGATATGCCTTTATATAACTGGTATGTTGTTATTTGTACAAGTTTCTTTTAGTTGACTCAACGGGGCTTATAAATTTAAATCATAACACAAGCTTACTTTAAATACACATGATATAATGGTTAAAGTGGGACGACTAATAGACTGAGATCGTTTTATATCAAACAGGAAGGGAGAATTTTAAACCAGAAATTGCGACATTTTATTTGGTTATTCCATTTTTAAGTATCCACTGTTTTTGGAGAAGAAATACATATCGGCTACCCCCTCTATATTCACATACACGTTCATGTTGATTCAACCAAATCCTGATACAGCTGTGACAATTTGATTTTATAACATTGTTTTATATTAGTGCTGTGTGTGTGGGTACACATGACCCAATATGCTAGTTTAATTAACTAATATTTATGTCTAAATGAAACCCTTGGGGCATAAAATCCGACGCATATAGCTACTAAATAATCATTATTCCAGGTGTAAATACATCATGTGTTCCATTTACAAGCTCATAGATCTAAATGGCGAAATATAATATAAAATAGTTACAATTAGGCAATATGATGTACCAAAAAATCTGGAAATTTGATAATGTAACCGAAAAATCATCCATAATTATGTCTTTAGAACTTTCTTAGAGATAATCCCGTCCGGGGTGGCTTTCCTAATCCTGATTGGCCTATACCTACATTTCCCAACACTGACACCAACTCACCAGCTATGTTCCCTAATGACCAATTCGCACCTGGTAAAAATCCTAGCTGCCACTGTTAAAAAAATGTTTTATCGCAGAAAATATTTTAACATTATGATGACACTTTGATTACTTTTATTTTATATGCCTATTTGTTTTTAGTTACTTAATGTGTTCTTATTCTAATCGATTTATATTGTGATTGCTAAAATACTAAAGAACATGTAATAGGAAAATATTATTGTTAGTACGATTCAAATTTTCATTTTATTTTTATCTTTGTTACTACATGTATTTTTTTCTTTTATCTTCGAATGTAAATGATTAAAAGCATGCTTGTTGTGTCTCGTAGGCCTTAAAGGCCGGACATTGCACACTTATAATTTTAGTTTTTTCGCAAATTGTGTTTTTATTGCTATTGTACAATGTGTGACACATTAATAAAACAATTCTTCTTCTTCTCCTTCCTAAAACACTTTGTCTGCCGAGACATTCATCAACGCCAATATACAAAAAATAAGGCTTTAGACAGAGATCACAGAAGCATCTCAACTGATGTTCCACAGGGATCTGTACTAGTCCCTTTGCTATTTTTAACAACAATAAAATATATAGTAAATTATATAAAACCAAACAATATTTGCTATTTTGGACCAAGTAAGGCTTTAGACAGAGACCACAGAAGCATCTCAACTGATGTTCCACAGGGATCTGTGCTAGTCCCTTCGCTATTTTTAACAATAATAAAATATATAGCAAATTATATAAAACCAAACAATATTTGCTGTTTTGGACCAAGTAAGGCTTTAGACAGAGGCCACAGAAGCATCTCAACTGATGTTCCACGGGGATCTGTGCTAGTCCCTTTGCTATTTTTAACAACAATAAAGGATAGTAAATTATATAAAACCAAACATTATTTGCTATTTTGGACCAAGTAATTTGCAAATTACGACGCTATGGCTCAGATCAACAAGGGCACAAATTCCCCAGGTATATCGATCATAACTCTGCTATCCTCTCCGATCACAACGTACGAGATAATTCAGTCCAGGGTGGCTTTCATCTTGGTGATTCTACTATACTCCAACTAACTGACATAACACACTTCTTCTGTGAAATATTGATCAACATCAATATACCAAAATAGTAAGGCTTTCGAAAGGGACACCGAAAATGCTCTGTTTATATAATAAACTAGTCACTGTTTCCTATAAAAATTACTAAACGTGACACTTAACGTTTATGTCGACACCAACATGGGGATGAGGCAGTGAAGTGTATCCTGTATCTTAGTAAACTGGAGGGTAAATATACACCAGTGTGTAATAATCACCACGAACGATAAGAGTATACCTGTCGAAACGTCGTGCGTATATAATAAACCAACTGTTATTTCCCATAAAAAAAATTGTGTTCTGTTGATGTGTTTCCCATTTAATCAAGATTAGATCCTATAAGTTCTATGCGTACCCTATGTATGTATGTGTATGTATGTATTAAGTGGAGAATGTTTTACCTGGACGTATTTTTTATTTATTTATGCATTTATCTACCGTAAACAAAGAAGTACTAGTACTTTATCTACTTTACGATATACGTTTGTAAATCAAAATCTAAATGATTACCTTTATAAAACTGATATTTCAAGCAAATGACATTTGATTTGTCATGCAATGTCACGCGATGGTTTTCTTAGTTAACCCTTAAGTCTAAAAATAAATTTCAAATACGCCTTACGAAAATTACCGGAATATAATGAAACCTATTACTTGAGTGACAAATGTCAAGTGTCAGGTTTTAGTGAACTTTCGTTTTTGTCTTAGCTTTTGCTCAATTCGATGTAAATGCTCGACTCGTGCATTTTGCCCTCTGTCCTCCCACCATTTGCATATTTCATAGCCAACAAACAGCATTCGCCACCATTAAAATTATCAAATAGATACGTCAGATATAGATCAAGGTCCAAGGTACACTTAACTCATAATAGTAGACTAACTCATTTAGACAGCCTATAATTTCTTAAGTTTCTGTTAAATGCATTCTTTTAAAATATGATTTTTACGAGATCACCTACCTGTAGGTATAACCTTTACATTTGACACAAGCTGTAAGAGAAGGTGCACATCGACATTTAAGGCCCGGATATAAATCCTTGCGCATTAGATAACTCTATATTTATCTTTAGGCCTATAATACTATATATATAAAGAATGATATAAAGGGACTTGACATCTAGTCTATATACATGTATATATATGAGAACGTAGGTTGCTTGAGTTGAATAAATAATAGGTAACCCTCATGTCGAAGTTCAGATGAATGCTGTAATTTACTAAATAAGAAGACTGTAAAGCAATCCTTCGGATCAAATCCTCTAGTACAAATAACAGCTACGTTACGTAGATTTTTTAATTTTAAGACCAATATTACTTATTCTTCCGACAATATTTTATAATTTGGATATGGTGTGTAAAATATACCTATCTATAACATAACTTTCTTTGCAAAACTTTGGACGCTGTTGACCCAAAAAACGCTCTTGTCGGTCCTTGTCGGTGATTAGCAGGACCGAAAAAACAGGACTGATTAACACTTCACTACACTACGATATAAAATTAAATGTTGTCTTGTTTTAGCTTAACTCCCAGAAGATAGATTCTGACATAGATGGGTGTTTTTCGGTAAAATATTTAAAAGCAATAACTGCTCGACAGTCCAAGCCATAACACGAATTTAACATTGATGCTAGTAGAGAAGCAAAATGTGGTGCGATCCTTGGCACAGTTAACGAAATGGGTGACCTCCCCTTGTACATTATACTAATCTCCAAAAGCTGTTATCTCAAAATGTAAGAGCTGCAGACAATCGTTTTTCTGCTTATTAAAAGTTTCAAATAACTGGTTTAATCTTAAAGTGATATTGCCATATATTAAAGCTGTCGTTGTTAGCTCTGGCAATGTCCCAAATATAGCACGTTAAAATATGCTAAATTTGTACTATGGCCGTAAGGCTTCAATACATCAATAAAGATTATTATTATTAACCGTTTTGCAGAACAGTCTACAGGTGAAACTCTGAGATTTGTTTTCAAAACTTCGTGAGATTGTTGTCACTTGGATCGTATGCAGATTTACTGTCCTGTAAACAAGATTGTAATCGATCTACTGGTTGCGTTTATAAAAACATTTCCCCGAACTTACTGTAATTATTCAGCTTGTACAGAAACTCGGATTAACCTCTGTAGCAAGCGATAGATTACCACTAATCTCTCGGGACAACATCTTAAAAACTATAAAGAAATTGAGTCTGGCAGGTTATCGATTGACTTATCCTTTAAAGGTATAACAAATAAACATAATTAAGACAAATAATATCTTTTACATATATTATTTAAAATGTAGCATAAAATAATGGCAAGTTTGAACCACGTGACTTTTATATCATATTTCTAACACATTAAAGCGATAATTTCATATTTTCTAAGAAAGTCAAAACATAATTATGTCTATGTCTTTTGCTCAATAGGTTGTCAACTCACTATACGATCATAGGTATTATTCTCCCTCTTAAAAATCCTTTGACCCCGGAAATAATAACACAATTACTTCCCTTGTTTTTCTACCCCCCCCCCCCATGGAATAGCTATCTTCAAACGTTTGAATTTGAAGTTCAAAATGATATTTTTGCCAATTTCTCAACTGGCAATAGTGAATTATAGGATTAATAGGATCATTCTTTAACAAGGTAGGACTGTTTATTGATACCATCTATTTTAAGGCTTTATTTTAATAAATTTTAAAAATATAACCAAATACAAACTCCTCGACTCTATGACTAAATCATGATTTTAAACATTAATTTTACACATGTTAATACCTCATTCATTTCCGTCCGTGGGTCTGTTGTTCCGTCAACAACTGACTAGTGAACGCGATATCGTCTACAGTTTTTAACAGATTTTTTTTTTCAAATCACTGTAGTCATGAGAGAAGGAACTGAATTGATATTTAGCGTCCTGTGACATTCTGTTTCAGAGTCATGCCCCCTCTCCCGTAAATATTATAAATGTAATAGAGACTACTGCAGTATCTACCTGATCTGTGAAGCATTTGGGCTAATAAGAGCACGAACGTTATCGAATTTCAGGATGTGGTTTATTTGGTGGATCTGATGATGTCGACTGTACACCGTATAAGGATTAAAAATCGTAAAACAGAAACTTATATGTATCATTTAAAATCAAGATCCATTGATGGAATTCTATAATTCATTCAACTGTAACCATAGTAAAGCTGTTCAGGAAATCAACAATACCTATACATAGTACAAAGCATGCAACTGATATTGATAATGGTGTGTATACTTTTGGTGGCGACAAACAAAACACCACTTTAAATGGTAAGTAAAACACCCACGTAAGATTGTCATCAAATTATAGTCCTACATAACATAAGGTTTAATAAATTAAAACGACTACAAACCAGATTGAAAATAATATAATAATCCTCTATTTAGATACTATAACAGAATTTTCTATTTTCTGTATTGAATTACATGTATGGAAAACGCCTCTGTAAACGGGAAAGTCCTTAGATGAGCCTTACATACATTTAAAAGGGTCAGTGACTTTAAATGTTGTAAGAAAACAATTCCATAACAGGGGAGCAGAGAAT